CCCGCGAAAACGTTTTAAAACGCAAGTAGAGTACAATATTCGTGATTAGCATGTCGAATAACCAGCTCAAGCCAAGTTTCAGCCATGACTATGAGCCCCTACCGTATACCGCAATCCCAGAAAATGGCGCTATCGCGCAAAATCAATATGATATTCGGCATAAGTAGGTCGAATAACTCCCTTAAGTGTAGTTTGAGCCAACTCCACGACGAAAAAATTTTTGGGGCCCGGATAGCCGGATAGCGCGATTTTTTTCTACCAGCTAAAACAGCAATGGAAAATGCCACGATCAAGGGTGTACGAGGATAAGCAGATCAACATGTGTTAGAAATTTATAACAAAGCTAATGCTTATCTCTTCTGGCTCGCACAGGCCATTTTGCAACGAATCGCCACAACGCTGCGATATTCCTTTGAGGATGCTGCATTTTAATCTATGATTACTGTAACGCCGCTGAATCGCGGAGAGAACGTTATCCTATGTCAGAATTTCCAGCTTCAAGCTATTCTCAGATTATGCAGGGGTTATCGGCCAAAAAATGAGTGCGCTAGGTACAAGAAGAAGCTAGCCGAGTAACCACTGGCAGGATGATACCTTCCTTTTCTCTTCGATTGGTCTATTCTTTTGGTCACCGTTTGAATTTGATTTTGGTTTTCGTCATCTCGAGGTCAGAAAAGCTAAGAATATCCATTTGCTCACTTCTCCCGTTTCGATGCCAAAAAAACTTCTACCATTTTATGTGAGCTTTTGTCATAAGTACCCCACTCAATCAGTGACTTATGCTTTTTGCAATCTCTGAGCCATGAAAGCTCTTACCAAACAATCACTTATCTGCGCATTTTGCCATGTCTATGCTAAAAAGATATCATCTATCAACACCATTATTATTACTTCTTTGCGCACACTTTCTTACAAAGTTTGTATTTCCGCTTTACTCACCCAATTTTGAGGAAAACCAAATAGTGCGCCGATCGTATGCAACCTGGGTGTTAATTTCAAAATAACGTATTTACGTTCTATGGTTCTATGGCAGAGCAAAACCTACATGCCAAATCCTTATCTCATCATGTTTTCGAAATCAGCATGCTCACTTACCCCCCCCCCCCCCACCTCTGCTGGATCCCAGGCCCGTGGCTAACACTTTGCAAAAAAATCGGTAAAAAAATCGATAAAATCGGTATTACTCGATGACGAAAAGTAGCCTACTATGTGCGCCTTATTTCAAAGTATGAGAGTGCAAAAATTAGTCCGGATCGGTCGGTTCAGCATAATGTACACACAGACAGACGTACATAAAACATACCGAACATACCCGCATACAGGCTTTAAAAAAAGGCATCCACCTTTATTTACAGGGTGTCCCAATAGTAAGTGCACGCTTCTCAATCGGTAAGAACTCTCTTACCACAAAGTCTTTTGCTTAGCGTCGAACACTCAGTCGCAGGCTTCATCTTATAGTGAGCATTACAGTATGAAGTGACTCATCCAACTCTTTTGATTACTGTAAGATTACGGTAGAAGCTTTGAAAAGGATTTTGAGCCGTTAATGGCTACATTTTGTCCCAAAACGGATACTCATCAAGCTTAATACTTTTTATTAGACTAAAGTGAGTCGCTTACTATAAATATGGAATTGCTTTGAGAACTTTGTCATATGTTAAGCCATGTAACTGCGGTAACGCTTTCACTGTTTTCAAAAGTATGATAAAAACCATTCAGAACGTTGAAAAACTCGCAAAAAATCTTTTAGTGAAATTAGCATGTCTGAAAACGCTGCTACTCAACTTTCCAAATTATTTTGAAACTTTTTTTTACAAATGCCATTTCATAATGTGCTGTAGTAGCCGGAAGCTCTTAGTTAATCCTACAGTAGTGAAGAGCTATGGACGATTCGCTCAGTTGTAAATCTGAGTTGAAGCTTGCTGGGTGGAGGACTATATGTCGCCGGGTTTGAAAGAGTCCCGCGCGGATTCCCTGCAGGAACGCATGTCCGCGCATGTATAAGGGTGCATATTTGTCGCAAATGACCGCAAGGACCGCCCTTTTTCGGCGACATATAGTCCTCCACCCAAGCTTGCTCTAATGAATGGTATTTGAGCTAAGCAAAAGGCTTAGTTGGAAGAGAGTTAGTAACGAATGAAAAATGTGTATTTACTGTATTGTATGTAGTAGGTAAATACATGCTTTTGGTAGTGGTTACGACTTGTCAAATAGATTCCAGTAAATTTGATGTGGCCATAATTCCAGTGCTATGACATTAGCATCCCGCTCTCATTTTCCTTTCAGTTGCCATCTTCGCAGAAAGCGTAAGCCGTTAGCTTTAGAAGCGAATCAACCAAATTCAAGAAAATCTGCACCGACATAAAAGTCACTGAAATTCTAGCCGACCTAGTAAAATCAAGAGCGAGTACATGCATGCTGTGACAGTCGCACCTTTCACAGTTGAAGAAAATGAAAGGATTTGCTCAAAGGGATTAACAGGTAAATCATCGATAGTTTAGTCTCGTTTCGGTTCACGAATGCAAAGCGCTTTTTTAAGGTAAATTAGGATAAACGGCAACTTCTCAGACAATGATAAGATTTTTCCAGAAGACTTCTAGAGTGCTCTGCACGAAATCCACCAAAAAAAAAATAACAGAAGTGTTTATCAGTGATGGCTTGCATTTTATTCGCTCATGTCATCCCTAATTCATCTAGTTTATTACCTAGCTGAGGTGCCTCATTTGTTTCTCGTCATCTAGACACCAAGGCAAATACGAATTACTTGCAGCCTTCATATAGACATCAAAATGATATCACACTTGGAAAACGCTGACAAAGCACAGGAGCGATGGGCCGAGGTCATGAGCGTGTTAGGATAAAAAGATACCCGCAATTTTTGGAGAACATTTCCTTTTGAAATTTCAACAATTCTCTTTGCCAAGTATACTGTCATGTGAAGCTCACACAGATGATATTCGGTCTACGTGTACGAAACTACATTGCTGTAGATGAAGAAGGTCAAAAATCATAATAAAGCGAGCAAATTCAAATCTTTGTGTCACGGCAACTGCTTACAAAAGTCTAATTTCCGTTTAAAAATCTTATCGTAACTCCATAAGACGCTATCATAAAAAATGACATGACATTACGTACTTTTGATCTGTCTTATCAATTTCGGAAAAACTTATGTCTTACTGTAGTGTGGCTATCTCATGTATGCTTTTGAGCTTATGATAGGGGTATGCTCTACCCGTAAGGTTAGGACAATAGATCAGTCGGTATACCTGTCATTCCGAAAAGTTAGGTATGCCATTCTATGTTAAAACACACCAGACTGGTCTGCAAGCTATTATCTGAGTTTTTTTTCTGAATACCTTTGCTTCAGTTTTTCAGGAAAACCATATTTTAGGTGATAGGAATGTCGTCTCGATTTCATGTTACTAACTACTTTGAGGTCGTAGTTAGATTTTTCAACACTCAAAGCATTTTGTTGCACACTTTTTGTGCAGAAAATCGAAAATTGTGATCATTATGTGGAATAAACCTTTTGCAAAGTTTTAGGTCAAAAATTTTGATCCTCATCGTATGCCTTCCGTGATCTTCAAAAGCCCTACTGTGCGCAAAGATTACTTCGTGGGCAGAAACTCATTTAAATTTACAGCGGAACTCGTGATGTGAATTTTTGGTCATTAAGTGGAGTGGCCCTAAAAGAACTTCTGGAGTGATGGAAATGCAAATGAAAGTGCTCTAGTGCTTTGCAGCAATATCTTAGATTTCTATGATCTAAGATTTGTTGCCTTTCCCGCTTTACTTTACAGAAGAGGAGAGAAGATTTAACATCGACAATGTCTCAAAAGCATGCGCCGTACGCAATCCACTTTGTAGTCGAAGAGAAAATCATAATGCTAAGTTAGCCAATTATCAAATCAGTGCTTTTATCTCCCAGAATACTCTAGTTCCAAATTAGCATCCTCAACGAATAAAGCCCTTTTTGGTCTAGAGAACAAAATTGAACATTTGTCCGAACTGGTTATAGCTGCGCCTCATATCTTAGGCCAGTTACCCCACATTTGGACTTAATGCAAACTGACTTCACGCCTGCGTATTGAAATAATGGTTGGGTACAATCTTACAAATTTTGTGTTCCAACAAATCTGCAACATTTTATGAGACAGCTTGTCAGAACCGCTGCCAACAGCTTTTTTTCTTCTGCATCTTATGTCACAACCTACTATTTGAAGAGTGATTTGAAGCAGTCAAAGTCAAAATCTTAGTTAAATTAATTTGCATCAAATTCTTTGAGATTTACGCACGTGTTGATTGCTTTCCAAATGTTTGAAGAGAAGTAAGACGTACACGGCCAACTTGCGGTGCATTTTGTGGAAGTGATTGCAATGCAATATTGTTTCAATTTCACAAAAGTCTCATGTGACCATACAGAGGTGATTTTCGTCTGTCACGTTCAATACTTTATTGCGACCAAATACATATGACCGTAAAATTCATCACAGCACATCAAGCACTAAAGTTTCTAACTGCACTTGTGAGATCCTACAGGTTTTAGCCATAAAGAGCGTTTATCCCCAAGTCATGAGCATTCCTGCAAACACTCAAGCCCTACATCTAAGAAGCGAAAGATACCAAGTATTGGCAAATTGTGAAAAGACGCGTTATATCATCAAAGCATAGAGAAGAGCTAAATCTAAATCTGCCCTTGTTTTTGATGAAAAGCTTCCTGAAAACAATCGTAAGCGCTCGTGAGTTACATTATTTCTTGTGTAGTCTGCTTCAAAGATCAGCATTGAGTGCGCTCAGTTAGAATGGTACGGAGAATGTTGTCTATGAGAAAGGCAAATAACGAACTTCGGTTGCACGATTAAGGCTAAATGTCGCAGAGTTCCAACTTGTGAGCGCCTCATCACTTTTTTCGAAGGTAATCGATCAGAAAGTAAAGGGCGGATTCATTACAGTTTTTGACCTGCGCCAATATGAAAATCCTTACAAATTGCTACTGCGACTTGGTATCGTTCCGTGATGAAAAATCGCCCCACATTGGGCTTGTTTTAACAACTTTTTCTCATCCCCGAGGATGTTGCGTTATCGGCCTTCAGAATGCCGGCAATGTACAGGATTTGGTTCATTTCGGTTTTAAATGGTGCCCGGTAGTAGTAGGTGTAATAGTAGCTGCCACCCTCGAAGTTCTCGTATATGCGCACTTGTCCACAGCAAATTCCTGCACAAGCACAGCGGCCGGTGAATGCGTATGCATCCAGGAAGGTGTACCCGGTCACGTTGTAGACATCACCAAAGTAGAGCCTGCGTTGACCTAAATACACATATCTATAACTCTAACCTGGGTCTCTGCTATTGTCATGAAACGTAAGTCGTGGAAATATTCACTAATTGATAATTAATTTTTTGTAGTTGACTGAGTCTTTATTTACACAGTAAACTTATCCGTTTCGTTAAGGTTTCACATTTCATTCCGTTTTTTCTCTACATTCTTTCTCGCCGTCCAGATTGACACGACGGTTAAAACACAAAGATGTCAAGGTTTAGCGACAAGCTTGCTTTTAGTTTGGTTTCGTACAATTATTCAAGCAGTTTCTAGCACTTACTTGCTCTTTGAAAGACTGGTACTGAGACACATTCCGGATTTGGTTCCTTCGCAAACACAAGTCTAAATGAGTTTATGTGCTTCATTGTCATATAAACTAAAAGATGGTAAATTGTTCTTTATTGAAAGAACACAGCGAACTTTCTGATTAAGACAGCGTAATCGTCCTCCCTACAAGTTGAATGAAAACGAGACATAAAATGTTGATCATGTTTTAGAACTTGCAGATTGCAAGTGGTTCATATTTTACCAACATCGGCATAGGCGAAAGCTTTTTGTTAGCAAAAAAGTTTACCTGCTGAGGATAATTGCACCATCAGGCATTTTTGTGACATCTTTCAGAAAAAACCTGGAGCCGCTCAAACCAATTATGTCTATAATGGTCAAGGACGCAGTTGTGTTCATGGCAAGCAACTGCGCCTTCCTAGCCTCGCTCTGTGCCTCGACCGGCTCCGGAAGTTGTTGAAATTCCACATTTTGAGCAAGTGGTAAAGGTCGCTCGCATGTTGGTAGCACTAGTTGCCGATCAAGCGCATATACATTGCCGCGTCCAACCTGGTTGACTTCACCACTTTTGAAAATGGTGCACACATTCTGGAACATAGGAAAAGGTATTCAGAGAAGAAGGAGTGACTCAAGAGCGTATGAAGAACTACGATAGTTCTTGCCTCGTTGTATTGAACGAAAGTACAGTCAGATTCCTCGAAACATGTGCGGAGGCATAATTCCTCGCTTTCTTTCGGCAGCTCATACGTGAAATTTGCAGTGAAATTACCTTGATAAGGTGTGAACGTATTCGAATTCGCTGTGTAGATCTGTAAAGTTAAGTATTTTAATTCTGTCGGTACAATATTCATTTTCTTTCTCTTTCTTTCGTTTCTGCTATCTAAAGTACGTATTCCAGTATTGTTTGGCTTTCCAATGATCGGATGGACTATATCTTTCACGGTTTTGAAGTGGTTCATTAAAGGCAGAGCAGAAACCAAACAAACATTCGCAGATTAGCAAAGAACATAAAAAAAGAATTAGGTAAATCTCTAGGCATTGCTCAATAAAATTTTCCAAAGCCTAAACTGCTTTTTGCTTAGATCGATCTGGGCACTGCTAACATGAAGATCAGCTTACTTGCACTTATTTTCATCTGATAATTGAATCTAGCTATGCAAAACTAAGAACAGAGCAAGCAGTGCGTCATATGCAAGTTGGTTGAAGTATTTGAATAGCATTTGAGCGGAAATCCTTCTACTCATAAAATTTTTCTATAAAAAGTGCAGAGTTTCTGAGAAAAGAAAAGGGTTTTTCAAAGCATTACCAATGCAACTTTGTGGTACAATTCTCTAATTTGCTGCCGTGGTTACACGGGTTTCTCTTGCTTTTGATCGATCGCGTCGTATAATAACGGAACTTTGATTTATCCCTATATAATGTCGACCCTTAAAGGACTGAAACTTTGCTATCTTTACACTATCTGCACTATATGGTACATTTTATCTTTGCATAGCAACCCTTTATTGTATTGGACAACCATGAGATGTTTGTGGCAAAATACCTGCATCATCAGCGTTACAATGAAGATCACGGTGTTCTTCGTCGACATTTTCGGAAGCACGATGAGTTTCAATAGAGTGCTCAGAAATTAGATATTTTAGAATACACACTATTTCTAAAGAGTTACTCTGGTTGTAGTAAAAAGTCATTTTTCGTTAGGAGTGTTCGAGAAAACTTTCGAATGGCTCAAGAAGCAACAGTGGTAGCTATCTAGCTTGGGTTACTAAGGTAGCTGCCCAAGCCAGCTAGCTTCGAGAGCGTTGTTTGAATAAAGACTCCACCTCCTCGTAGGTCTTATATATGAGTCGTTGCTAGGGATGATCTCTGGGGCGGACCTTTTAGAATCGGCGGATCCGCCCCTCTTTGTATCCATGGATCTGACCAATCAGAGGCGCCACAGCTACAGTATTCAAACACGCCCAAGATTGCACAAGGGCTATTGGAGCAAGATGTAAAAAGGAAAACACCAATATTTTGAATTTTTGAGGTTATTAACCAATTAGAAAGGCTTTGCATATGCTGGTTTTCGATTACCCAACACAGTAGATGGAATCCGCAATTAACTTGTAATTTTGAGATAAGAAGTTGACTAAAAGTGTTAGTAAATAGAATTTTCGAGGAAATTTTCATGAAGACATCGTGCATTTTACAAACTGGCAAGTTGAGCGGTCAATGCTACGACAAGAAAAAGTATAAGTTCATTTTATAGCATAATGAAGTCTGCAAATATTATAGAATACCTCAAGTACGCGAATAAGCTCTGCTTGTGAGTTTGTTGTTTTAGAGAAAGACCAAAACCATAGGACATCTTTATTCATGCAACTAATCGGCTATAACAGCCTGCTTGTGCCTCAGCTGCCTATTTAGTCGGAATAGAAGGTACTTAAAGACCATATTGAAGCACATATGATTCATATCGTGAAGTCTCAAAGCCATGCAGAATGTTTGCAGCTGTGGTCTCCTTATCGTAAATCCTAAAGATTAAATCAATGTTAGCAAAAATTCATTACTAAAAATTAGATGATGGGTACATACAATAAGGCTTGCTAAAAGATGGTAGAATTCTCAGTGTGAAATGAATGTGAAGAAAAAGAGGAAACGTGTTTGCAATGGGAATGACCATTTGTGCCTATTTGTTTTTATTTCCAATTCAGTAACTCATAAATAAGTTATATATACAAAACGTTAAAGATTGGGGAAATCTTCACTTTGAAATTGCAACCATGATATATGAGAGGATAAAAAAAGCGGCTGTTTTTGAAAGCGGAAAGGTGAAAAGCTGTTCAAATTCCAAGATTCCTTGCGTGAGTGTGGAAAGCATATTGAAGAAAGTTACTCTTTTTTGTTGATCTACGATTACTACTGCGGCCACGTCTCCCACTGGCTCTTCTAGTATTTTTTACAGTCAGTATTTTGCACGACAGCGCCAATCTCTCCAGCAACATTAGATACACAACCAATGTTTTGGAAATCCACATTTGCCGAATACTTTTGTGGGGAAGGCGGAAAATCGGAATACTTTTTACGACTATGGCCCAGGAAGCGCCTAAAAAAGATATTTTTGCAAAGTTGCGCCTGGTATTTGCTATCTCATGTTTGATCACTCAAATTGATATCTTGATGCACAATAGTTCAATAATTGTAAACAGCAGGCTGATGATTCCCTGTACAAAATTTTAAACACATGTGCGTTTGAAAAAGGGAAAAGGTATCCAAAGAAAAAGATGGCGGACTATTCTGAATTTCCTATTAGGTTGTCAAAAAATAGGCTAATTTTCTGAAAGTGAAGTGTTATTTTCCTAGAAGACTTAGGTAACCATTCAGCAGATGAACAAGCTCTACAAAATGACCGCCAGAAATCCGCTGAAGTCGTAATACAGGTAAAATTTTAGGTGAATATCGAAAGGATTTTAATTAGAAATTATCAAAAAAAGCAAAAAAATCTTATGGACTTCCAACTTGGTCGTTCTTGAAAATGATTTCGATGAATTCATGCTAGAGTGAGAGAATAAGATAATTTAGATATAAAATATTTAAAATATGCGTAGCATATTTTAGAGTTCGAAGTTCCTTATGTTGAAGAAATCGTAGAAAAATTTAGCATTCATATGGATCTTGGCACATACGAAGTTGGTTTGAAGGTTGATAGTACTCGTACTGAAGTATGAAAATAAAAAACAATATGACCAAAAATGCCTTAAAGGCATCAAATATTTTCCAGCTTAGTTGTGAAAAAGAAGGAAGTTTTGGTCATTAATTAGCTGCTTTTTTCCGTTTAATGTCAATTCTGTGGGACAGACTTTATTACATTTTGAATTTCATTCACTTGCGATGCAATGAGTAGGTTTGAAAATTTCAACAGCAATTTTAGAAAAAGCTATTTTGTTGTTTCATCGAGTTTTTTTGCTGTCAGCTGCAGACAAACGAAGGAATCAATTTTGGGCAAAGTGCTAACAAGGCAGGGATACCAACATTAGTCGGCGACTGAAGATGAGATGTAAATCAGTAGACGCACCTTTGAACGCCGATTTCAAATCTTCTTTTCTTTTTTGCGGAATAAGTTTCCGAAAGAAGTTGTGAGTGTTCAAATGTCCAAATTTCTCATGACTAGGTGGCCTGAAAAATGGCGAAAAGCTGTATAAAAATACCGGAAAGTGGAAAATCGTTTTTGTATTGAGTATATTGTTTGCAGGGAAGGAACAAAGCTGGTGGAAATCGCATAGGTGTTGTTTTAGAGCTTTTCGCTGATTTCAAGCCACTCAGTACTTGGCAAATCTGGACATTCAAGCCCATAACTTCTTTCAGAGACTTATTTCGCAAAAAAGGGCAGCAGATTTGGAATCAGCGTTCAAAGCCGCATTCAAAGGTGTACATTTCATCTCCAATTGCCAACTAATGTTGGTATCCTTCCCTTGTAAGAAGATGGCATCATAGTCATCAATATCCGTTAACGTTAAATCTATTACTACCTCTTACTACCTCAGCAAAATGTGATTTTGAGAGAAAAACTCAGAAAATTACTTTGTCACCATTGTTTCACCAAGAATCATAGCATTCCGAAAGATTTCGATCAGCGTATTTAGCTCAGTGAGAAGGATAGATCACATAATCTTCATATTCACTGCTTATGATTTTACTGCGACGTTCTGAATTTTTCGCGAACTATGTAAAAATTTTGAACTTTTTGTGATTTTTTTTCCAATTATAATTGCAGATTTTATATAATAAAGAGCAATCAAGATGCAAATAGAAGACAAAATTAGAAACAAACTAATTCTAGATTCTTTTCTCTTTTTTGTGTTCTTTTGCTGTTAGCTGTTTTTTTTTGTTCGGATCAATGTGATATTCGATGCAAATTTTGGCAGGGCAGACGGCATTTAAATACTTTTTGAATTGCGATGTCATGATAACAACTTTGAGGAATGTGAGAACTGATAGGACTGCAAAATACTTTTGATAAGCTGGGCTATAAAAGCAAGCCAACTTTTGGCCAAATGATTGAGAAGAGCATCCACAGGCTGTGCGCACTGTTATACATTATTTTTTCTTCTAGAATTCTAACACAATAGAATTTTCATCGACTCGAAGGGGCTTAAAATACGATTTCAAAGCTTACCAATAAATTTCTCCTAGTCAGTCAGGTAAGCAAAGGGCCCGCAGTGACCACCTACGGCATTGGTCTAGCTTACGTTCTCGCCATTTTGACAGATATATTTCACGGACTATTCTACTATCCTTGAAATAACGCACGATGGTCGTCTGCCTAAGTCTGTGTGAAGAAGCCTACAAAATTTATGAAACTGTAGCGGCATGCAACTGAGTAGTAATTTAATGTACAAGTATGTAAGTATGATTGCACACACTATTATATTCTCAAAATAAAAAGAGGAAGGATAAAAGAGGGAACTTCAGTTCGCAAATGTTGCCATCAATTTTATACTTGAGACGAGAGGCATAGTTGTATGAGGCAGTGGCGTACCGAGGGGGGGGGGGCGAGGGGGGGGGCCTATGTGGGTTATAAAAATGTGCAAGTGACTTGTTTATTTTTGTAAATAATTAAAATAATTTTTAAAAATTTTTAAAAATTCAGATTAGCGTTGTAAAAAAATTTTTTTCGGGGGCGTGGCTGACGCCACGCCCCCTTTTTCTAGATTTTAGGGGTCGGGGACCCGCAAAAGTTTTGAGAAGCACCCCAAAAAAATTTTCGGAGTGCGTGGCTAACGCCACGCACCTTCTTTAGAAAAAAAATTTTTGTCGCGCCCCCCCCCCCCCCCCCCGAGCCGAAATCCTGAGTACGCCACTGGTATGAGGCAATGTCCAAGTCCAACCAAAGCTCGGTTCTTGTCCCTGGACCAAAAGCTCTCTATACTTATAAAACGGTAAGTTGATATTAGAGCAATCTGAAAAGAAAAGTATGAACGGCAATCCAACAATGTTAAATCATATTTCATACTAATTTCAGAAGTTGCCGAGGTGATGACTAAAACTAGATTGTTATAACGAAGCCATTGATGGCCCTTTCAAAACGAGTTTAAACCACCATGAATTTCCATATTACGTTTTCTCTCATGCAAATTTTCTTATTTCTCAAAGAAAGAAATTTTAATGGTACACCAGCAAAAGCATGTTATATTCCAACATCTCGATTTCGCTTCAGAGATTTGGCTACACTTTCAGCACTGCTCATTCGTCCGCCACCATATAGCTTTAAAGCAAATAAGGCTTCTGGATCCCAAGTCCACTTTTTTTTGCTTGCAAACTCGTGTGTGACGGTTGATCAAAATAATTCCATGTCGGCTGAATTGAAATAAGGTTTGGTTGCTGAGGTTACATTATCGAATTCACGTTTTCATGGGATTTTCGAGAAATCTATGTGACATTGTCGGAACCAATGGTAGCAATGCATTTTTATTGTTCTCAGATGATTCTATAATGCGTTTCATACGGTAGATTTATTAGTTTTCAAATGCTCTTTATATACTTAAAAAATATCAAAGCAGCAAACAAAAAATTTCAGAAGAAAGTTGTTTATGACCTAGTCATTCCATC